TTTCTGGAGCTCCTGGGGGGGGGGACTCATCGCTACGGCTGGACACGCGTCGGTGTGCTGGTCATACCGTTCCCTGGGCGAGATTCCACAAGTAGCGGTATCGGTATCTTTTTTGCCTCTCATGCTAGGGGGGAAGGGGGTCGGGGGGGGGGCATTCCAGCCGCCATGAAGGGAAGGGTCCCTGAGGGAAAGACGTCATCAGGTTTTGTGCCCAAGCAGCGCTTGCACTTTGGGGTTCTTACGTATGTCTTGTCTTAGAGAGTGGTTTTGTTTCACCCGCTGTGCAATAACACGCGTTGTGCCTCCCCGCCACACCCCCATAACGTAAGGCTCACCCCCCATCCCAGCCACCCCAGCGCGTGCCCGGCACTGCCGCAGTGCGTCCTTCTCAACAGTCTGTCGTCCCCGACGCACACAGCGGAGGGGGGGGGCACTACATTATGCCCCCCCCCTCCCCCCTCTCCCCCCCCCATAACGCCCGTAGTCGCCGTGAATAGGAAATGCCCTCTAAGGAATCGGGCCGCGGGGCCGCTCTGGCCACCATGTGGCCTCCGTCGACGTCCCGTCGCCCCCCATCGCCGCCCGTCGCCTGGGCCTGCTGGCCGCTCTGGCCTCCATGATGTGACCGCTGGCGCCGCATCGTCGCGGCCCGTCGCCGCCCGCCGCTTAGGCCTAACGGCCGCTCTGGCCGCCAAGTGGCTGCCGTCGCCATCTCGTCGCCCGCCGCTTCGCTGCCGCCCGCTTCGCATTCCTTCGTACTGTTTTGCATTGTTTGCCGTTGCGTTGCACTTGTTTTGCGTTGCTTTGCGTTGCTTCGCATTGTTTTGCGTTGCTCTGCGTTGCTTCTCCTTGCTTCGCCTTGCTTCGCATTCCGTCGCATTATGTCGCATTGCTTGGCATTTCTGTGCATTGCTTTGCATTGCGTTGCATTGCCTTTCCTAGCTTCGCATTACTTTGTATTGATTTGCATTGCTTAGCATCGCTTTGCATTGCTTTTCTTTGGCTTCGCTTTGTGTCGTTCTGCATTGCTTTCGTTCTGAACAATTTTATCTTATATTGCATTGCTTTACCTTGCTTTCTGTTGCTTCGCGCCACATAGTCTGCACCACGTGGATGACACCACCTAGATGACTCACCGCACAGATCGAAGGAAACCAGTGTTTAGGGGTTCACGCTGACAAGCATCTGGGCTTTTGGCACGTGGGCCCCAGACTGTCAGACAACGGCTCGGGACGACGCGGCGGGCGGGACAGGAAAGGCGTCGGGCGGGCGGGCTTCAAGTCGACGTGGGCGAGCGGTTGTGAAAAAGCGGGTGGGCCGGGACGGCAGGCGAACCGGGGGGGAGAGCGGCATTTGTGCAGTCCGCGGCGAAGACCAGGAGGAAGGATACGCTTAAGTCGGGCGTGTCCCCCTACAAGGGGATTTTGGATGAAAAAACAGAAAAACAAAAATACCCCCAACTGGTGAGGCATATTTTATAACAAAAAGTCCCCAGACTATGTTTGAACTATTTTTGGATATACCCCCTGTAGAGGGACAGGCCCGACTTAAGGATACGCAAGAGGAGGGTGGGCATGCTGGAGGAGACGGACTGCCAGCGCGGGATGGTTTCGGGGAGGCGCTGCCGCGGGTCAGCAGTCCAGATCAGCAGTGTCCACGTCGCGCGCGAGCCCCTTCTGGCTGCGGTGTAGTTCCCACGAGGGTCGGCGGAAGGAGGGGGGGGTCGTCTGCACATCGTGAGCGGAACGAGTATCCGTATCCGCGGCCGTGCGAGCGGGTCCCTTGGGCGGCAACCCAGCGGATACGCGGAGTTTTCGTTGTTGCGGATGCCCCGCGCGGAGCGCATCCGTGCGACCGCGTATCCGCGGGGTCGCGCCCCAGGGTCCAGACCGCCAGGGCGCGGATACGGATGTGTCGGCCGCTCGTGGGCACATGGCTCCCAAGGTCCAGGTCGGCCAGAGGGGGGCAGAGGGGTTTGGCCGACCTCCGCTGGCGCCGACCCCCGCTGCGTGCGCCCCGACGGCTCCCCGTCCCTCCCCGCTCGCCCCTGTTATGCGCACGCTTCGTCCTGCCTGCTGCAGGTTTCCACGCGGGGCGTTCCAGGAAGGGCTGTGCCTTCGAGGATCGACGGAGTTGTCATGTCTGCCCCGGCGGAAGGCGGCGGAAGCAAAACGAGGCCGCTTCGGCCGGCGGAAGCCGGAGGGAGCCGGCGGAAGCGGGGGGAAGCCGGCGGAAGGGTGGCGGAAGGTGACGGAATTAGAAAACGCGTCCCAAAGAGATGACAACACTTTTGGGTTCAGGGTTTCCGCAATCTGCCATGGCCCGATTCGATACTCTGCAAAACGAATTAGGACGGGTGCCTCTCAAATCGTTTGCGTGAGCGCGCGCGCGCTCTCGTGGGCGCGTGGCAGGGTGGCACAAAGAGAGTGAGAGAGAGAGACACACACATACCTATAGGTATATCTATGTATGTATATATAAATACATACATGTAGAGAGAGGGAGAGAGACAGAGATAGAGATACAGAGAAAGAGAGACAGAGAGAGAGAGAGAGCGCAACAACAAGCAAGAGTGAGAGAGAGAGAGAGACGTGTGTGTGTGTGCGTTTGCGCGCGTGGGTTTGCATGTGCGTGTGTGCGTACTTGAGCGTGTTTGTGTGTGTGTGTCTCCATCTGCTTGCTCCAAATGACCGCTGGCTGGACCTCACCAGCGCGCTGGAGGAAAACTGTGCATGCGTATACGTCGCACGGAGTTTCTCCCGCTCTCTTCCTGCGCTCGCTCCCTGCGCGCACCTGTTCAGACTGGTCAGGGGTCTGGCTTTTTGGGCGTGGCTCTCGCCGGAACTGCGGTCTTGCGCACGTGCTCACACAAGCTGGTCGATGTGTTTTCGGCACGTCCCGCCATTCATCATCGGGTGGTTGCTGCCCCTCACCGCGCCCGAGGGGAGGCGTGCATGTTTGGACGGACCATGCATACTTCTGGGCTCGAGCTCTTTCATCACATTCGCAAGTGCAATGTATGTGGCGGCTCCCCCCGCATTCTTCGCGGTCGTGCTGCGCAAACCGCCAGAGGAGGTGTTCTAAAGCAGCGCGTGTGTATATGTGTGCGCGTTCACGCTCAACTGTCCTGCAACGCCCGTCCTTGCTGCTTGGAGGTCCCCCCGGGCTGCACCGGGACTTCAGCTCTGCTTGCCCTGCCACGCAAGGTGGATCGGCTCTGAGCGCAACCCGCCTCTGTCCGTTTTGTCCGCTTGCTGCCTTCATAAACGAGCGCGTCGCAGGAACACCGCATCGTTTGTGTGTGTGTGTGTGTGTGTGCGTTTGTGTATGCGTCGCGGGGCGGTTGCGTGCCTCTCTGTTCCTCAGAGCCACACGCGCCGGCTGCATCCGTGCCCTCAGCACCATAACCGTACACTTTAGGCGATGCTTAAGAAAACGTAAGTGTTCGGCCAGAGTCTCGATTATTCTTAATGTTTCAATGTAAATCCTACGATTTTGATAGAAGCTCTAGGTTTTTATTCAAATTCTGAGACTCTGAATTTCTTAACCCATGATTTCTTAAGCATTTCGCAGGGTGTATGCCCCGGCGTCGAGAGCACCCCGCGCGCGCCACCCCGTCAGGACGGCGTGTGCGCCCTCGCGGGCGCGCGTGACGCCCGAGCCCGTGGCCGACGCTGCTCCGAAGCCGCCCTCGGCGGGACCCCCGGCCGCGGCGGGGCCCGGGGCGACCCCGCGGCCGGGCGCCATGGAGCACGGCGCCGCGCGGTGGCTGGACGCCTCCGAGTCTCCGTCGGAGAGCCGTCCCTGCCGGCCCGCCTGTCACCTCCTCCTCCTCCTCCTCCTTGTCCTCGTCCTCCTTCTCCTTCCTTCTCCTCCTCCTCCTCCTCCTTGTCCTCCTCCTCCCTGTCCTCCTCCTCCCTCCGTCGTCTCATCCTCCGTGCTCTTCGTCAGCATGCTCCTCTTCCTCCTCTTGTGTGCGTTCGCGCGTGCAGCAACACCACGACTGAGCGCTCGTGCGTGCCGACTGGCATTGCGCACGCACGAAAAACTGGCCAAACGCGCACGCATACAGCAGATTGAGCGTGTTTGTTTCCTCGGAATCCCGCTCTAAATTGCCCCCCACGACCTTTCCTGGGGATCTTCCTGGCAGTTTTCCAGCTGCGTCCACCCGTGGCAACGAGAACCTCCAGAGGCACCCGAAAAGCTTCTGAATATCCCCGACGCCGCTCGGCCACACACTCTTGGCAGAGGGCCACTCGAAACGGCCCCCCCGTCCAGATTCCATCCTGGCCTGTCTTCCGTACAGGGCAGATTGTTTCCGGGGTGCCCCGAACGGTGTGCCCTAACTGGTGTGGTGGCCGCACCGTGTGGTTATTCATTGGGAACTCGGGGTCGCAGCACGGTTTCGGGACTCGGGCCCTTCGTCGAGGACGTCTCAGGCGATTGGGGCCCCCAGGGTCCCAAAACCGTGCGGTGACGGACCGCGCGGTGATGTTGGGGATGCCGAGGTCACCGCGCGGTCCGTCACAACACGGCCTTGGGGCCCCGAGTTGCTTGCCTCCATCAGCCGACCACGTGTCGGGGGCGTCCAGGACGGGGGTGAGGAGGAGGAGGAGGCGGAGGAGGAGGAGGCGGCGGAGGAGGAGGAGGAGGCGGAGGGTGGTCATGGGATCTCTCCCCTGTTTCGTGGCCACCTCCTCTTCGCTCCACGCGTCCCCTGCCCTCCCCCCGTCGTCCGCGCACGCGCCTCGGGCCTTCCACGCCGCTCTCGTACGCTCCCACCCCCCAAGCATGGCCAACCACCACGTCAGGAGAGAGTGCTGCTGCTGCTGCTGAGCGCCGCCGCGCGGTGCTCGACAAGGGTCATAAGGCACACATGTTGCGCAATGGCGCATCCAACCGCAATCCGAAGACCGACTCATGATGGCCCGAGGGTCCGAAACGGGCTCCCGAAGGCTGACATCGAGGAAAAGCCTCCGTCGCGTTTTTTTGGCGGGGGGGGGTTCTCCTCCTCCTCCTCCCCTTCCTCCTCCTCCTGCTCCTCCTCATCTTCTCTCCCTCCTCCTCGTCCTCCTCCCCCTCCTCCTCCTCCTCCTCCTCCTCCTCTTCCTGCTCCTCCTTCATCTTATCCTCCCTCCTCCCTCAGCCTCCTCCTCCTAACCGATGTGTGGATGTGCGCTGGGATCAGCGGCACCGAAGAGTGTTTCGGGCGATGGAGTGAGCACGACTACTACTACTACATCGCCTTGCTTGATGGCGACGAGGTGCGAGAAGCATGGCCTCGGGTCGACCCGTCGATCCTCAAGGCAGCGTTCCTGACGGATGGCGAGACTGTTCTTTTCCAGAACCTGCGAGGCCCTGCTCGCACGATTGCGCCACCGACGGAAGAAGAACTCACGGCCTCTGTCTTCACGCTCAGAGACGAGACTGGGGCCCTGTGTAGCAAGACCTTCTCCACCCACGGGGCCCTGACAGCTCACCTGTTCCAGTCCCGGGGAGGTGAACACGGCCAGCGTAACTCCTGGTGCACGTGTGTGATCTGCAGTCAATGTCAATGGTGTCGCTCGACCTTCTCGACTCGAGATAGTGCTCGTCAACATGTTCGATCGTCTTCGGATAGTCTCAGATGTCGCCTCGGTCGCTCTCGATTCCTGTGGTGCCTGACTTCCCCTCACACGATCAAGTGCACCTATTGCGACGGCACCATTGAAACCATGGACGAATCCAATGAGCACGCAGTGCAGCAGCAGCTTCCTCATCCCCCACATGTGGCAGTTTGTTCTCTGACCTCTCGCCGCCCACCGGCGTCCGACACCCCGTGGCCCCGCCGTGTCCAGCAGCAGAGACATCTCGGCGACGTTCGGCACCCCGGGAGAAGGTGCGGCGGCGGCGGCCACGGGCGGCGGCAAAGGCGGGGCACGGCGCGTCAGCCAGCGAGCCGACGACGAGAAGAAAACAGACCTTGGCCTCAAGGGAGCACAGACGACGCTGCAGGTACTGATCCTCAAGATCATGCTGCAGCTCGGCCCGTCGAAGGGGATCGCGGAGGGCGTCATCTTCGACTGCATCCTCATCGGTTCGACCGGCCACGAAGCGACCAACATGAGAGAGATGGGCAGCAAGTATTTGGACGCGGTCGCGACGCGGGGTCGCGGCCACAACACGGGACCTCCACACCTGTGGGTGTTCGGCGGCCTACTGTTGGGCTTGATGGAGAGGAAGGACGCAGATGCGAAGAAGCTGGGACAATACCAAGCTCTGCAAGATGGACAGATGCTACGACCACGACAAGAAGAAGGTGCGATTGCATGTAGACGCCGAGATCAGCAAGGTCGTCCTCGACAGCTTAGCATGGACGGGAGCGGAGCTGGAGCAGAGCCGTGCGCCGCCCGCCCACATGGAGCGCGAGCTCCATGAGTGGCTCGAGGCGTTCACGGACCAGTTAGTGCCGATAGTGGCCGAGGCGCCCCACACGCTGTGAGTGCTGAGAATGGGGTCGAGGCGTTCCTGACGTTGTGAGTGTTGATAGTGAGGATCGAGGCGTCCCACACCTTGTGGGTGCCGATCGTGTTCTGAGCGGTTCAATTCATGATGTTGATATGGTGCCCCCTTCTGGTAATGAGCGGGCTCATCGATCATTGCCGTCCTCCTCTACTCGTACTCCTACCTCGTCCTGTTCCTTGAGGCCCCCGACTCTGACTTTGACCTCTGGGGCGGGAGTTGTTGCGAGACCCAGCGGACCGACAGCGGCCGCGGGATCTACGGCCCCCAGTACCGCTACGAGACCCAGCGGATCCAAGACGGCCACGGGATGGACGGGCCCCAGAGTTGCTACGAGACCCATTGGCCCTACGGGTCATAGTGCTGCTACGAGACTCAGTGGATCGGCGGCACGTCTACCCTGAGCCCGAAGCTCTAGGCGCGGTCCTCCTCCTTCATCGGCTGAGTTCTGGGAAGCTTGGAAGCGTGAGGCCCCCGATTCTGTGTGTAAAGACTAACTTAGAGAAGAGGGGGATCCGAAAAAAGGCACCCCAACTACCAAGTCATGTTTCAGGGCTGCCAGATTTTGACACCAGCTAGAAAGGAAACCGAGCAAGGTTTTACCCCTCCCCCCCCTCCTCGGGTCCCTGGGCCCTCGTGCCGCCGTCGCTGTTCGCCGCCGTCCGTATGTCGTCTTCGTCTCGCCCCCCCCCTCTTGCACCTGCTGGGCCCCTCTTTGGGCAATGCGTGCCCGAGACGGTCTCTGGGGCTCAGGACGCTAGCCTTCGGCGTGACCCTCGGAGGCACTCCTGCCTTGAGCTTGATCCCACATCCCGGGGTTATCCTCCGAGCCTGGTTTTAACATTGTAGGTGACCAAGACAAGAGGTTCTTGGGAGGTCTGATCCTGATCTTATCCTCCTCCTCCTCCTCCTCCTCCTCCTCCTCCTCCTCCTCTTCCTCCAGGTGTTGCCAAGAGTGTCCCTGGCCCACGGTGCCCCTGGGAAATCCAAGAACGCCCGCACGGCCTCCAGAGCATCCAGAGCAGCCACCACGAGACCCCAACGGGCTCCAAAAGGGCGTGAAAAGCTAGGGGCGCCTTGGGGTCAGGAACTCCTGCACTATGGTTTCGCGCTGCGTTGACGCGGGCCAGCCTCTGCGCTTCCGATCAAGGTTGAACGTCGCCAGTGGCCCAGAATCGACCGACACCGAACGATCGGCACTACCGGAAAAGGCGCGATCGCTTAAGGCTGAGTGATCCACGCAGTTCGGTTTGGCGAGGAATCAGCGCCTGCTCCCATCCTGGAGCAAGGATCGATGTGTATGCCTCCTGGCCGAGCCAGGAGGACACACTCCCCGATCCCGACGACGTTGACGTCGACGAACCATCGTCGACGCCTGGGAAACTCCGAATCATGGGCGACGGCGGCCACGTCGTCGACGCCGAAGCTTTCCCCGCGAGGGGCCGCCGCCCCCGTCCGACGATATCTGCGACGTCGCCGACGACAGCGCCAAGACAACGGTGCGTCGTCGCCGACGACGTCGTCCACGATGTGCCGCCGACGACGGCGAGATGGCCGCCGACGTCGTCAGGGACGACGTTGTGACGTTCACGCTGTTCGTTGCCAATTACTCGGGAGTTTTTGGCTCTTTTGCGGGCCAAGATCCTTTTCAATTCTAATTGTTCTATCCTCAGCCTCTTGTTGGCCACTGGGGGGCCAGGAAGACTTAGAAACAAACGCAATTTAGATATAAGCTAACGACGAGTAGTCGACGTCGACGACGGCCGGCGTCGCCGGCGCCAGCGGCGCCCCCGAGGAACCACTGCGGGGCCGCCCCGCGGACAGCGGGGCTGGCGGGGGCGAGCCGCGGTGTGGTTTCTGGCCGCGCGCGGCGGTCGGCGGTGTGGGCGCGCCGCCGCCTGGGGGGGCGTCGCCCTCGCCGTCGGTCGTCGCTGTCGAATACAATGGCGATGGCGAGGGCGACGACGGCGAAGACGACGACGACGACTACGACGGCGACGACGACGTCGGTGAGGACGACGACGGCGACGACGACGCGACGACGACGGCGACGGCGACGATGACGACGACGACGAAGGCGACGGTGACCATGACGACGGCGACGTAAACGACGGCGGCGACAACAACGAGGATGGCGACGGGCGACACCGACGACGACTGTTTCGTCGCTGGCCTCGTCGTCGTCGCCGTCGTCGTTGCTGCGGCCGTCGTTGTCGCTGTCGCTGTCGTCGCCGCCGTTTTCGTCGTCGGTCGTCGCTGTCGTTGTCGAGGGTCTGCCTGGTTTTGGACGGCTTCGAGTCGTTTTGGGGCACCCTCGTCGCCACGGTTGGATTCCTTCCGACATGCTCGTCAGAACGCGCCCAAGAGGGGTCAAGGGAGAGTCGCCCTCGTTGTCGCCAACGCCGGCGTTGTCGTCGTTGTCATCGTCGTCGTCGTCGTCGTTGTCGTCGTCGTCACCGTCGCGACCGTCATTGTTGTCGTCGTCGTCGTCGTCGCTTACGCCGACGTTGTCGTCATCGTTGTAGTTGTCGCCGTCGCCGTCGCTGTTGCCGTCGCCGTGGGCATCGCCGTCGCCGTCGTCGCGCTCATTGAAGATTCATTTTTAAAGAATACGTATGGTTGGTCACAGGAAACGGTTCCGCGCGCTTTCGCCTCGACGCCAGCTACATGTCCTCTGATAGCGAGGCTCCCGCGCGAGCGTTGGCTTGAGTCTAAATGTGGGCCCTTGGAGGCTCAGCTACGACGACAACGGCTCCCGCTCGATATTTTTCATAATTTACCCCGAGACACCCTGGCCAAAGAGGCCCCCGAACTCAGGAACGGCGCGCTCGCTCGAGACATTTTTTGCATTCGAGTTAATTTGGCAGAGGCCCAGCCACGCCGACAAGGGCTTCTGCTCGATACTTCCCCACGATTTACTCCGAGAGCCCCTGGCCAGGAAGGCCCCCGAACTCAGGAACGGAACTCTCGCTTGATATTTTCTCGTAATTCAACAAGTTGGTGGCGGCCCAGACACGGCGACAAGGGCTCCAATTCGATATGTTGCCATCGGTATTCCGAGAGCCCCTGGCCAGAGAGGCCCCCGAACTCAGCAACGGCGTGCTCGCTCGAGACATCCTCGCACTTCGCACAGTGGCCGGCAAGGAAGACATCCCCCCGAAAGGGGGTGCAATCGAAGACGAAGTGGGCGGGTATCGAGGGTTGGGGTATACAGAATGCAAGAAACGCGTGCCAGTAAGAGCGAACAGTCTTAAAGTGATCGTTGTCGTTGTCGTTGTCGTTGTCGTTGTCGTTGTCGTTGTCGTTGTCGTTGCCATCGTCGCCGCCGCCAGCCTCCTCGTCGTCGTCGTCGGACAGCGGTGGCGGCGTCGTTGTCAACCTCCGGAATCGGGAGGTCCTTAGAGGTTCTCGGAGCCTCCCAGAGGTTCTCGGAGTTCGCCGTCTCTTTCCTTCCTGCTCAGGAGTTCTGGAGTTCTGGGTATGGCGACAGTGTCGGTTACTGATGACTGAAGCGGCTACTTACCCTGCCGCTTCCCGCTGGCCAGCTCGGCTTTACTGCGAACTTTAGGCCAGAGGCCTCGGGAAATTAGGAAAGGGGACGGGCAGGGGGAGAAGGACCCAGGCACCCTCGCACCATGAGAAGGGCACGACGGGAGGCTTCTGGGAAATGGGCATGGTGTTCCCGTGCCGCAGCTAGGACAAGCCTATGCGCATGTTTGCTCGCATCTGGCTGTAGTGAACACATGCGGTCACCGCTGCCTAGCTTTGGGCGATTATGTGCGTACCCTGCATGTTTGCACAAGCGCCCAATCACAAGTAAAACAAGTCTGTCATTTTCGGTCTCTGGTGGCTTTCGCTGGTCTCCAGTACTGTCACACGACGGCTCGGAATGATCGATTCGATACGTTCTGACCGCATGTGGTCCAGTTCGGTACACTTTCTGTTCAAGTCAGACTTAAGGGTTCGATGCTGACCGCTCCTGACACACAGCACAGTGATGCAAGAGATGCGGGAATGAGAGAACGCCCACCCATGTGAGTCAATTGATGACTTGTGCACATGCTCGCTCGGCACTAGTAGGGGCAGTAGCCTGGCCATTATTCTATGGTCGTCACCCCCACCGCGCGCGGTGTAGCGGTCATTATTCGGAGCGTTTGCGAACGAGAGACGTTGATGATACGATATTCATTATGGTCTGGGCGACGCCCTGTATACCTTCGTGTATATGCGCGCGGCTTCTAATTGACATTCGCAGCGTACGGGTGCACGCGCCCATCGGTTACGTCAATCGTTTTTTGTGTTGCCGAGTGCATTCAGTAGGGTAGATTTTGGACGTCAATTTGCAACTCCGCCCGTGTCCAGTTGAACTGCGGCGACGTGCGCGCGCGGAGTGTCCCTGGCAACTTTCGCTACAGGGCATTTTGCAAACGGGGGTTCTGCCAAATCCTCGGGAGGAGGACGAGGAGGACGAGGAGAAGTGGCAGCAGCAGCCGCGAGGCGTACTGGTGCTGCTGCTCGCCGCCCTGGCGGCCTGCCTGCCCTTTGCGTGGCGCGAGGGCGACCAGACCCCTGGGCGCAGCGTCGCTGGCGAGACGCCGGTGGAGCGGCTCGAGAGGCGGGCGGCCGACGACAGTTGGCGTCGCAAAGTGACGACGTCGTCGTCGTCGCCGTCGCCGTCGCCGCTGCTCGAGAGGCAAGGCGGGCCGACGACGACGAGTCGTCGTCGTCGTTGTTGTTCTCGACGCCGCCAGTGGGGGACGCCCGTCCCGGGGCAAAGCCCCACAGCTGAAGGCACATTGGACCAGGCGTCCCCAAAGGCGGTCCTGACACGGTAAGCGACGACGGAAGTCGTCGTCGTCTGCGTCGGCGTCCTCGACGCGGCCTCAGCCGCAGCGGCTCGAGTGGCTGAGTGGCCGTGTTGTCCACGACGACGAGTGCTCGACGCGAGGTCCGTTCCAGAAGGACCTTGCCTTCGGCCTGCCTCGCCTTCGGCACGAGCTTGCGGAAGGCTGGCGGGAGAAAATCTGCCGCGGGGCCTTTGGCCGAAGCCAGCGGAAGGTCGGCGGGAGGCGGCGGAAGTGGCAGTGATACATCAACATGTCTGGGTTCAGGGTTTCCGGAGCTTGCCACATGACGAGAAGGGTTCTTGTGTGTCTCGCACCGCCTTCGGGTAAAAACGGCCCTGCCCATGCCGATGGACCGTTCCATAACGAATCTGGATAGCAAGCTGGGCGTGAGAAAACGCCCCAGGCGCCAGGACCTGCTTCCGTTAGAATGTCATTCCATCTTCACCCGTGCCAAGGTGGGTTCTTTTTGAGAGGCCACATGCGAGCGACAGACGATGATTAGAAGACGATGGCAGCACCGGCCAAGAGTAAGATGACCTTTAGATTTTGGCATTGCATGTTTTCGCACCGGCTGTTTTCGCCCAGTTTCGGGTGTAGAGTTCCGGCTGCGACTTGCTCATCTTACTTGTTGCCGCGGCGTCGTACCTCAAGGGGGGGAGGTGGAGGAGGAGCAGGTCCGTAGCCATTTGGCTTAAGCCATTTTGGCTCAAGTAACCGTTTCTCGAGGTGGGTCAGTGACCAACAGCCCCTGTGTCTGAAGTAGGTAGGTGGCTTTGCCGCGCCTGCGGACGCTGTCTCTTGGCCGATCGAGGCCCATGTTTCTGGTGGGCTCCTGGTGGAGCATATTCGCTTTCTCGCACTGGCACAGCTCGTGCCCCTGCCGATGCCTGAGCATGCGCACCGTGGCGCAGATCGCTTGCCTGCCCAGAAGTCTGCCAAGAAGGACGAGAGGAGTGGCGAGACAGTTGCGGCTGCTGAGCTGTTGGGAATTACCCTTGATGGTGACATTGGTGGTGGCACGAATACCCCCACGGACCCATGGCAAGGTGATGCAGGAGACTTTGGACAAGCAAAGGAAAAAGGACCCGCCACTCTTCCCGCCCCTCCCTCGAGGGGACGCTCCAGTCTGCGCGAGGACTGCTCCCGATTCCATCGATGACCTCTTGGCCGCATTCAAGCTCGAAGTCACCTCGACTATCGATGAGTGCCGCTACTCGTGTCTCGCAGGTTTTTAGATCTTCACGGACAGACGTCCGATCTCGTCCGCGGTGTTGCCACAAAGCAAGAGAGAGTCAACAAACCAGTTCAAGGTGAGTTGCGTGCCCTTCAGGACGCGCAGCATGACGTGGAGTCGCCGCGGAGATGCGGAAGCAGATGGAGCAGATGCGGAATAGGTTTTCAATCTTTGAGGGAGCCATGCCCATCAAGGACTACGCGGACTTGGACTTCTGGGACCGCGACCCCGACCCGACCCTCCTGGTGGCTATCCTCTCGGCCCTCTCTGCGGAGGTTGGTATCGAAGCGGCATTGGCTCCGTGACTGGAGGAGGCAGGGTTTAAATGATTGTCATTCAAAGTTGGTTGGCAGCTCCCCCAACCAGCAAATACGCACGGAAATTCCGACGAAGTGGCCGGCTGCAATTGCAAAGGCTCATGACCCCAATGTTCGCATCAAGTACAACAGAACTCAAACCACTGTCTACTTCGATGGTGTCCCGGCAATCACGGTTCATGCTGGACAGCGTATGGAAGCGCGCTCCTCATTGCTGTGGAACTGCGCGTCGGTCAGCGAGAGGAAAGTGGGCTTGAAGGCGGTGCAGGAGGCTTTCGCTGTACACTCCTATGCGACGGAGGATCGTGTCCAGCGGCGCATGTAGTTTGATACTGGCTGCATGGCAGAAGGGACCTTGCAAATCGGAAAAGGACTTCGCTTTCGCTACATGAAACTCTCGTGCCCTTCTCCACCACCAACAGGGCACTCGACAGAAGAAGTGTGACAAAGTTCGTGAGTTCAGCCGCGGACGTGTCATTTTCGCCGTGCAGGAGGTGCACAGCACGGCGGCTGAGCTCGCTTTCCAGCTTTCCTTGTGTAGTCTCGACGACGCATGGTGGCATCGATCCGTCTCACTCGGCTGGCGCCGTTGCTGTGATTCTCTCGACAATGGACAATGGCAAAAGTTCAGCTTCAGGCTGGTCTTGAGGAAGGGCGACCTGGTCGCGCGCAAAGGTTGGCCATCAGGTCACCGCCCTAGGACGGTCAGGAGCAAACCGTGCTAATGCGCCGCAACATTCACAATTTCGGCTCATCGGCAGAGCAGCTGGACAGTCTCACGGCCAGGATCAGAGCTGGGACGCAGGTGGCGGCTCAGAAACCTGAGAAGGTTACGGCGCTGGTCTCGGGAGATTTCAATTGCGCGCTCGACGCGCCCCCGCGTCTACATGTCCCTGAGATCGGCGAGGGTCTCCTGGTGCAGCCTCGACAACGTGAGCACGGTGCCCAGCGGTGGCAGTCGCAGGGGACCTCGCGGAGCTGGGGCCCGAGATGCCGGCCCGCTCTGCAGCGGGGGATCAAAAGCTTTCGGCGCTGGATGAGGTTTACCCCCACTCCGCAGGACATGCTACTTCAATGGGGTCATGTTGCGACTGTCTTGGCGGAGACTGAAGGATTGCGCGAGGCCTGCGCGTCGGGCCACGCTCCTGTCGCGGTTGCGTTGCGTGCTCGACTACTCCGACCTCGCGACCATTAATGCGCGCCGGCCTTCCTCTGCAAGACACAGGAGTATCTCCAGCTGCTCGTAAGTCAGTCGTCATCAGAGAGGCTCTCGCCGATTCCAGAGTGGAGAGAATTCAAACGTCCGATGCGGAAAACGGCCAGACTCGCCCGCGATCGCTCGGCCCGCGTTGCGAGCCCTCCCTCGGGAGTTAAACGTTTGATTGTCCGTTCGATCTGTAAAGCGGTGCATTTAGATGAAATTGAGTTTGTGGGGGCCCCGCTCACTCGCGCGCCTAGTGAGAGATAGAATTCAAGGATTGATGAGTCCATCCGCGCAGTCCCGCTGCTCGCGCCTGTGGATCTTCGTTGTCAATGTGAGCAGCTGAGGCGCGAAAGTCAGGACGTCCGCTTGGCCGCCGCCTCTGCGCAGGCGCGGGCTGAGCAGATTCCGCCCCGTGAGACGAAGCGCTTTCGAGCATGTGCGAGGGGGGGGGGGGGGGGCACAGGGGGAAGTTCTTGGCCACGAAGGAAAAAACTCCCGCCCCAGGGCCTCGTGGACCCCTCCCCTGGCCCCCCTCGCCTCCCCGTCTCTCGTGGCCCGGGCCCTCAGTGAGCAGTGGGCCCGCGATTGTGCGTCAACATCTGTTTCGCCCGAACAGCTTCGGAATTGTTCGAACACGCGTGTCGAGCCGTTTGACATGGCATGTCCCAGGTTTCCTTTCCGATGCAGGCGATGCTTTCTCGCGCGATAGGCCGCGCTTCGCCCGCGGTCCCCGGCCCTTATGGGGCCCCCCGCGCGGCGTGTCAGCAGGCGAAGCTGGCGGCGCCCGTGCTCTTTGATGCGTTGCAGACCCTGTTACGCGGGCGCCCGCCCTCAGTGGACCATGGAGCTCCTTCGAGTCTTCGCCCTCGAGGGTCATGGGCCTGAGGGCTCCGCATTTGCCCCGGGGGGTCCATCTGCCACGAGATCCTTCGCGCTGAAGAACGCAGACGCCAGGATTCTCGCTTCGACTCGCATCTTACGTTTGAAAGCTGTTCTTACGTCGGGTGCCCACATGGACCGGCGAAGTTTTGTTCCGAGGAGAAAGTTCATGGACGACGTCTGGACACGTCAGCCCGCGCAGCCAGCATGCAGCCTGACGCTTGCGATGAGCTCTAATTCGAAACATTCGCAAGTGGCGAAGGGAATTTCCAGGGACCGAGGTGGGGTCTGTGCGGACGACGTGGGGAGATGCCTCTCCATGACCAGAATGCCCTTGTGAGTCTGACTGGAGTTTCCCAGGCGGCCCACATCCTTGCGGGCCTCCAAGTATAGCTCCCGAAGTGCAAATCCATCCAAGTCGGAGCCTCCTTCTCTCCAGTGTTGCAGCTGCGAGCGCAGTCCTTCCTTGGGCTCAGGGTCAGGAGATGGCCCCCCGCCCCAATTGTAGAATTCGCGGGGTACTTCGGGGCGCGGATCGGCCCAGCAGCAACGAGAGAAGTGACGCGGTCTCGGGCGCCCCGCGAGCGGCGCGGCGTGATTCGGGAGACAGTTGCGACAAAGGCCGCCCCCTCAGTAGCAACCGCTCTTGACAACTCGAGAGCGGTCTCCAAATTCCCAGCTCTCCCCGATGCCGCTGAGGATTGCCAGGTGGGAGAGTTGGGCTCTGCATCGCGCGCTTCACGTTCCCCCGTTTTCGTTTCTCCCGCTTTCCATCCTTCTCCCCCTTCGCTCGCGGTCGGCGATCCGTCCTCGGTCGCTGCGCATCGCCGCCGCTGCGGCACTGATCCGCTCGGCCATCAGCACGATCACGAATCGGTCCAGACTCTGGGAGTGGGTCCAGTACCGATGCAGAGAGCGCCTCCCCATCACCTGCCGGGTTGGGGGGCACAGGTCACCTAACCGTTGGAGAGCCAAGTCGTTTGTTCATGAGCTCGCTGTTGCTGCCGCCTCTTTCCCTGCCTGTCCGAGATTACACGAACCAGATTGCTCAGCCCGCCGTGCCCTGAGTTGCGCCCCCGAGGACAATCCCGGAGCCCCCATTCAGAAAACGATTGCTCGGGGCTCGGCAGAGACGCTCGTGGTCGACTCCTTCGGAGGGCCACAGCGAGGTGGGCCTCGAGGCCCGTGCCTGCCCGTGCCCCTCCAAGCTGCTTTTGCCCCTGCCCCGCCAAGCTGCTTTTGCTACATGGATGATCAGAAGGTAGGTCGGGGGGGCTGGATGACGGAGCGGCGGATGTGTCAACGATATTGCCAATGCGAATTCGGGTGTCGAAGTGAGCTGGATTCGCAGCGCCACTACCTCAGCTGTCCTGAGCTCTCGACGGCAGTGTTTTGTGCGTGGCAGCCCCAGGATCCGATTGAAACGATGCTGGATCAAAGGCTCGCCCTTGCTCGCTCGATTACCCCAGATCAGCGGATGGTCGCGATCCAGAGTGGCTACCGCGATTGACTTGTGTAATCACCGACGTCATGGATGGCCGATCGATATTTGTGCCTGGTCTGCGCGATCACAGTTACTGCAGCAGCAGAGTGAGGTATATGTGTAACCTCGACCTCGAATTCCGAGCTACGTGCGAGGGAGAGGCGGAGGGGGAGGAGGAGGACGATAAGATGAAAGAGAGGAGGAGAAGGAAGACGACGGGGAGGAGGAGGAGGAGGAGGAGGAGGAGGAGGAGGAGGAGGTGCGACCCGAGATGGGTGGATGGATCTGCCCACGGCAGGGCTTGCATGTTGAAGCTTCGGGCCGTTTTAAGCAGTTGAGGAGCAACGGAGCGTGCACCAGTCTCCTGCATGGTCGTACACCCACCCGCGCAAGCGCGAATGCTTGGTCATCAGAAAAAGGTTGGCGGCCACGTCATGGTTTTTGTTGCCAAACGCGCACTTGTCACGATTGCCTCATCTTCGATAGTTGGCCAATACACCTCAGACGTGCACGGCTTTTTCTTCTGCGTCCCTCTTCTCTTTCTAGGGCCTTGGGGGGTCTCGACAATGTCCGTGGGGCAAGTTTTGCATGTCGACTCTTGTGCCACGGACCCAGAGCCAGTTGACGGCTTGAAGAAGGCGAAGGCGATGAAACATGTGCCGTCGCGATCTTCGAGGTTCGAGGATGAAGGTTCGAGATTCGGGGATGGATGTGTTCGGAGGGGCTGCATTGCCAGAGCCCTGTCCCGTTTTTTTCATCCTGCTGTTCCCTCTCTCCCTCCCTCCCTCCTCCTCGCCCATGCTCTTTAGTCCCAGCCGCGTAGCCGATACTTGCGACGGAGTTGGTGGCGTTGACCCGGCTGGCCGCGACGGATGGCTCTTCTGAGCAGCAGCGGAGTTGTTTCTCCTCTGGACGGTCCTGCGTTCGCTCCTGATCCTGACCGCCTGCGTCTCTTTCTCTTTGGGCCCGGTGCCCTCCTCGCCCACGCTCTTCCCCACGCCCCTCCCTCCCCATCCCTCCGCGTCCTGGGGGGCACGGCTGGGGCCCCGGCTCCTCCGGTTCCTCCTCCCTCCTCCCCGCTGCTGCTGCTGCTGCGCACGCGCTGGGACGCATGTCCCCTCGCGTCCTGCCAGCGTCGCCGGCGCCGCGCGCCCGCGGCCCGCCCAGAGGCGGAGCGATGGCAGCACGCCGCCGACTCGAACAGACGGTGCTGTGCGGGTGCCACCCGCGTCAGAGGCCGTGCTTGCGGGGTGGCCAGTCTTTCAGCGAAGGCGAACAGAGCTTGAGGGCGGTAAAGGCCCGTCGTGGGTGCGGTGGCTCCAGATCCGTACTGATCCGGCCATGCCGTGACGTTTGCCAGTCGTGGTACCCGGCGAGCATCGCAAAACCTTAGCTTGAAAGGAATGCGTTCGACAATCATGTCACAAACCCTAGCCCTGAAACAGGAAAGTTAACAATGCTTCGACAAGCAACTCACAATCATCGCTCAACCCTAGCCTTCACAAGAGGGTGCCTGAAGTGCGGCGCCACGGCAGGTCCTCCGCCGCTGACCGCCGCCAGCAAGATATCTGTCTACCACCGCCAGCGGGGTGCCTGTGTCAGTATACGCCGCCACAGAGTCGCGCATCTCGTGTCTGAGAACATTCGTGTACCGCTGTCAGCACACGCCAGCAGCTGTCGCACTCTGGGTCACCAGAGAACCATGAGAGCGAATGTAATCACACTCATGGGGTCGATCACGGCTGTCATCAGCAGCATAGGCGGCGAGGTACTCGGGCTGCTTGTCGCGCATGAGGAGGATGTGCAGGCTGTTTGCACAGCGGCTGCCACAACCATAGCGCCACGAGGCGCTTGTACCTGATGAACCCAGTCTTTAAGGCAACCACCGCCGAAGCAGAATGACGATCACCAGGCGGCTCCGATATGGCCGCCTGTGAGGACCAATCACGTACGTGCAGCCACTGTCGCTGGAGGAGAGGATCCAGCAGCTCGAAGTGTGGGCGTCATGGCAGATCTCGTCGTGCAAGTCCCCGGCCCAATAGGTAATTGTCAGTGGCCATGCATCGCTGCTGCTCCTCGGTCCCCAGCCCGTGCCCGACGGGGATGATCAGGCTGCCGCTGAGGACCTGGCGGCCGGAGGCGCCCGTGCCTCGTGGCGCTGTCAGCCCCCATCCCCGTGTCGATGAGTGTCGAGGGGGGCAGTCTGACGCGGTCCACTCAGGGAACAACTCTGCTGCCCCCAGCTGTGGTAGGAGCTCGCGCCAGTGCGTCACCACGGCGTCTGCCATCAGATGGCACAGCTCTGGTGGGTACTTCTTCTTGCAGGTGCGCTGTCTGGAACTCTGCAGTACCCTCAAAGCGGCCGAGAGCTGCTATGTGGCTTTGTCCGTGCGTGCATCGGCCTCTGTGTTGGGCCCTCTGCAAAAACTGTTTGAATCGGGGAAGGTGCGTCGTGAGCAGTGTTGTCGACTTCTTGGCGTCCACGCCATAGGTTGGTCCAGGTTGGTGATGCGCACGTTTGGTTGCCGTGTCAGCGCTCGCGCGCGTCTCGGTCAGTGCCCACGGTCTGACCGCATGTGGTTTCCATGTTGCCCTTACAGGGTGCTTGATATGTAATGGCATTTTGGTGCAGGCCACTATGAGGTACAGCATGGTGCGGTATAGCGCGTTGGCAAGGGTCCGCTTCGCCTGCCCGCGCTCGTTGGCAGTGGCAAATGTAATTCTAGTGGCGCACCAGTCTGGGCCCTAATCGCCCACAGTCCAACGTTTCCCATCTTACCGCAGACCATGTCTCGCATGGTGGCCGGGCCGCAATGCCGAGAACGAGCCCTTCTTGAAGAAAAGTTTGGGCCCGTCTTTCCATTATGCCTTGATCAGTGAGATCACCGACTGCGAGGCCGATCATGATATCCAAGGAAAGGACCCAGACCTTGGCGTCAGGATAGTAGCGCTCGAAGGACCCTCGCTTCTCCTCCTCCTCCTCCTCCTCCTCCTCCTCCGCATGCTCCTCCTCCCCTCTCTCTCGCTCCCTCACCCCCCCTTCCTCCGCCTCCTCCTCCTGCTCCTCCTCATCCGCCTCCGCCTCCTCCTCCTCCTCATCCGCCTCCGCCTCCTCCTCCTCCTCTTCCCCAGCAGCTGTGGCTCGCTGCAGCGGCGGTCGGTGCAGAGGTCGGGCGGGCCACACCTCGCCCCTTGAAAGGGGGCCCCCGGCTACCAGCTCGCGCGCGCGCTGCGTGCTGGTCCGCGGAGATCGCCGACGCGCATTGCGCGGGGTGACGAGCGCTGCTGCGTGCCGAGGTCTGCAGTCTTGCAAGGTGCGAGTGCCAGCAGTGCAACAATCGCTGCCCCCTCCCAGCATGTGGCGGTGGTGCAGAATGCGTTTGTCAGTCCTTGGCTGTGAGTGTCAAGAACAGATCCCCTCCCTCGTCGCCCTTGGGGGCGCCGCCCGAGCACCCGCCTTCAGGCAGCTGCGGCTGCTGCTGGACGAGCAGCGCCTGCTGCGGGAGCGGTCGCCCGCCGCCCTGGGCGACGAGAGGCTTCGCCGCCGTTTTGTTGCCGGCATGGGGGGTCATCGTGGAACGGCGGTATCCTCGGTGGCTCCAAGATGCGGTCCTGAGGGATGGGAACCCCAAGGATAAGGAAGGGATCCAAGGGTGGATTTACGCTGTTTGAGGCGTCTCGTCCTTAGGACCCCATCCCTCCGGACGCCCTTCTGAACCGCCGATATTCGGCGGAGGGGAGGGGCGGGCATGCTCAGAAGGCTCCGAAGTCCCGCGGCCTTCTGAAAAGTTGCCGGCGCCTGCCCCGAAGTTACAGGAGGTTTCTCGGAGTGCTGTTGGGTTTCTGAGAAGCCTTGCCGACGTCTGCGAAGGCCTTCTCCTTCTCATTTCCCGTCCTCGCTCGCCGCCGAGATTGCTATGGTTAACGGGCGCAAGCTTATCCATGCGGGCCGAGAGGATTAGCCCGCTGATGCAGCAAGTGTAGACGAGGATCAACGAAACAGAGAGCACCACATCTCCTGCTCTGGGTCCTGGAAGTCGCCAGCACGAGCCCAGGAGGGGCTAGCCACAGAAATCCCGACGACGACGGGACAGCGCGAGACCGACGGGCGGCGCGCCGAGGCACGTTAGGCTGGCAGGGGGGGAGGCGGCGGCGGACGATGGCAGTGTCGCGAAGACGTGCGCAACTCTGAAAAGGCTCTGAGGAGCCTGGGACCTGTACAAAAGTGAGGGCCCAGGTTAACTCTCGACTAGACGTAAGAGTGACCTTTCACCATAGTTACCTTTGGTGCGCGCACAGATTGGTCCCCGGATGGCTGAAAACGAAATATTAACAGCTGCTTGCGCGCCCAGGTTTGGTCCCCCCGGCGGCCCCAAAGAGCCGCGCACCAAAAGTCACTCTTGCCCAGGGCCACTCTTGAGTATTGCCGAAACTCGCAGCGTCGAACGTGAGAGCAATCTGGCCAGACCACGGAGCCAGTCGTCTGTGGCGACGCGCCCTGGTTGGCAGGGGGGGGAGGAGGGAGGAGGGGCTTCAGGTGCGAGGCTCGAGGGGCGAAGGGTCGGCGAAGGGCCTCAGGCACGCTTTTTGGGGGGGGAGGGGGGGGGGCTGTGCCGGGCCGCCTGCTCCCAGGCGAGAGACGCAGGCAGCCGGCGCCGCCTTCGCAGCCGTTGGCGCGCATGGTCGCGCGCAATGCTCCCTCGTCGCCAGTGTTATGTCGGGCGTGTCCCCAAACAGGGGGATTTTCTACGAGAAAAAACAAATACCCCCAGAATGCACCAGGTAAAAAAAATAGTAGAAAAATAGTCCCCTGAATAATTTTTGGATTACTTTTTGATTATTTTCGGGGTACTTTTTATTTTTCGTCGAAAATCCCCCTGTAGGGGGACAGGCCCGACTTGACACCAGTGCGGCGTGCCGCGCCGGCGGCTTCGCGCAAGCCGCTGCGCGAGGGCGCTATGCCATCTCGCGCGGGGCCCGTTTGTGTCTGCCTCGTCGCGTCGGGGGGGCGGCCGCCCCCCGCCCGATGGGCTCGGGCAGGCAGCCTCCTGGTGGGCACGCCCCCCCCCTGTTGTGGCGGGCGGGCCTCTCGGGCCGTGGTGGGCAGCAAACCCAGCACGGGTCTGGTGCCGGGGCCGAGTGTCAAAGTTGTATTAGCAAGGATGTGAGATATAGGATGATGTTTAGAATTATCTATGTTGCTGCTCTCGCTCGCTCATGCTTGCACTCCCTTGTTCACTATTGCCGTTTTTGGCTTGGACCCGCCAGCTGAGGCGGGAGGGTGGACGCACCTATCGAACGCTGAGTTTGATTCGGTATAAGATATCCTATCATATGCCTGTTTCTTCTTGCATCAAGAGGTTGTGGGTGGAGAGATTTGGATCAATATTTACACTGGTAGCGTGAGCTGAATCAGTCCACGGTACGAGGATTTCATACAGAGTGGCCGTGCCGACATATATGCTGGCGCTCACTTACATCCTCGCGGTGCTTAACCACTGCGCTCAACAGATCACGATGATCGACAATACGCTCAAAATCACTACCTTACAACAGCTTGGACGAGGAACGTTGCATCAACAGCATCCCGGGCGAACAGCATTACTACAGCAGCAACGATCAAGACAGCTTCTACATCAGTGATAAGCTCAGTAGCATCACGGTCATCAAGATGACGCCCAGGCAGCAGCAGCAGCAGTTCAATGACGGCCCCCTCTTCGTTGACAAGGAGGGCGTGGTACACTACAACGGAGACCCATCCTACGGCGAGGGGTTCGAGGAGCGTGCAATACTCGGCTACCACGCGAGCGAGGAGAAGATCAAGAAGCTCTGGGCGATCAAGCTCAAGAATTCTCTAAATGGAAGAGCGTGGACACTTACACGTAAGACGGTTGAGATCAGTACGCAGGCAGTTTTGGACGAAGCAGGTAATGACCCACTTGCTGCAGTCAAACTGTTGTTAACTACAGTACGACAGGCGTGCGCGATAATCGCACCACTACAGAAGCAGCAAGCGTTCGAGGAGTATTTCTTCGGAGGTTTTTGCAATCGAACGGATTCTGTGCAGGACTACATATCGAGGCGAGAGACGGAGTACGAGCGGCTCAAGTCACTTTCAACCCACACGACAGTCAGCGAAGACCTACGGACATACTTTCTAGTAAAGCTAGCGAACATCAGAATGCAAGAGCACAAGGCAATCCTTGGCCAACGCAACAACGAATACATCTGGGACGACGTGACGGCAGCCATGCTGATACAGCTGGACAGTACAGACCGAGACGATCGTGGACATGGACGATGCGGAGCCTACCCGGTGGGCTACGACGACGAAGAAGAAGATGCTCTACTCGGAGACGAATCTGCACCGTGCGACGAGGACGTTTTTTTCTGAGTGATGCGGACTACGACGCACTTGCAGCGGACATCGACGAGTTCGAGGGAGGGGTTGACGACGTGGACCCGGAAGAGATCAGCCAGGAGGAGTGCGACACCCTGGCGACGGAGGCTCAACGTCCTGGCTGGAAAGCTGGACGGCGCAACCACAAGCCCAGCTACAAGCAGGCCCGGGAGCGGCTTGCTCAGGGCAAGTCGAATAGAGGTTGGAAAGCCAACATCAACAAGCAGGGCTCCATCAAGATGGACAGCAAAGAGGCTGAGGATAAGCTGAAGCAGATCAAGGCGCGCACGAAGTGCAACGCGTGCCACAAGAAGGGCCACTGGAAGGGTGACCCCGAGTGCGAAAAGACGAGGTCACCAGCGAGTGGATCCAGCACGCTACAACGTGGAGGACGCGGAGGCGGACGTGGAGGGCGAGGCTTTCACGGACGACCTGGAAGTTTTCTACGACGAGCTGGATTCGCAATGGCGACCGCGGTCAAGCTGCTGATGGCGGACAGCTCGATGGACATGACCGCCATCAGACCGACGCTAGGGACGTGGTCGAGGACGGAGCCCAGCGGACCATGTACTACCTGGAAGAAGACAACACAGAGGCCGACCTACAGAAGATACGAGATCGTGCGGAGCAGATCGCAGCATTGTGGGTAAGCTGCGAGAACATGGAAGCGGCCTACAGGGACTATATGGATTTCTGTCTGGACTGGGCCCTACATCGCTTCCAGCAGCTCATGCACATCACCATGGAGATGGCGCCGAACGGTCTCAGGAAGATGGCCTACGATCTATGCCAAGCAGCCTGGGACAGGACCTCGGAGCTTCGTGACATCGTGAGGAGTACCTGCGAGCGCCTACCGATTGGAGCACGACCGACATGGTTGTGGACGCAACGCCGAGCTGGAGCCAACTACGTTCCAGCGGGCGACCGCACACCAACACAAGGGCGGCAGCAACCTTGCGAGGAGCTGGAAGAAATCGAAGCCGACGCAGTACGAAAAGGACCTCTTCCGGATGGACATGCTGTACTGGACACTGCGTGCCTACGTGGATGTGGAGGTTCAATATTACTGGACGGCTATACAGAGGACGGCAGAGTCACCGCGCGGATGAGAGGATCATCCATGCGCTTCCGAGGCGTGAATGATAGCGCCCCGGTCATGGCAGAAGGAGAGCAAGAGGGGGCGGCTGGACTTGCTGGAGCTGACGTGAACCTACGCTTCCAGAGGTTGCCGAAGTCAAAGACGCCAGTGCTGCTGAGCATCCACCAGCTGGAGGAGCTCGACACAGTGGTATACATCAAGGATCGGAAGGCGGACTTCGAGGCGATCAACAAGTACGGAGTGCCTCTCAACAAGACGGAGAAGGGAGACGACAAAGATCGAGCCATCAGTCACGTCCGACGAGATCGAAATCTGGAATGCGGAGGTCCAGGAGATCGATAAGGGCAACCCACTGCGGAAGCAGAGGAAGCAGATCGAGACGTGGGAGAAGGAGATTCAGGACAAGCTGGACCAGTGCCAGCAGATCGTGGACACGCTGAAGGCGGACCCGGAGGATAAGCGGCCCATCATCCGCGAGCTCTACGCAGGTGGCATGGCAGCCACATCAGAAGCTCAGCAGCGGCGGCATCCAGCGACGAGGCCGAGGGACATCCTGATCGGGGACGACCTGCTGGACGCGAAGTCGCAGAAGACTGCCCTGAAGCAGCTGAACGAGGATGACCCCTACATGGCCATGGTGGGTTTCCCCTGCGACCCGTTCACGAACATATCCCACATGTTCCCGGAGGACACGAAGATGCGTAAGCTGGCGATCGGCATGAAGCACCTGCAGCTTGTCAAGAAGATCTGGCTCAACTGCAAGCACCGAGGAGCTCATCTGCTACTGGAAACCCACTGACGTCAAGAGCCTGGCAGCTTATGCCATGGCTGGGCTCAGAGTTTGCGAGCGCGATGGTGCACCAGCGCGCCGAGGGCAGCAACCTGGTGGACTTCGTGGGTGATCCAGTCAAGAAGCCGACGAGGTTCCTGACGACGGCCATCATGTTCGGAAAGAAGCTCAACAGCATCAGGTGTGACGAGCAGCACGCACACACGAGCGTGATCAACAGGCCGAAGGGAACAGCATCGAGCCTTG